ATTGTGAATATTATATCTAAAGAGAATAACTTCCTATAAAACTAATAATAACCATTTCAAATACTACTACTTGTGTTCTTAATACTTTTGAAACTTTTTTATAGACTATCTTTCACAGCTGGGGGGAAGAACAATGACGCAATCACCACCACTTATCTAGGCCCTATAAAATATGTCAACAATCTATTTTTTTAAGCATCTGTAAAGACCATTACTACCACCACATTATTGAAAATAATTTTTCAGGTATATGAAATTCATATTAAACTTGTTTCCTATTTCAGATACTGTAGTAGGGCTTTTACATACACAATCTGTCATCTTCCAAACTCTCCAAAAGAAGTATCTCCCTGTTCCATAAACAAGAAAACTCTGGTTTGAAAATAATTATGAAACTTCCACTTAAGTCCAGGTAGGTAGTCAGTAGAGGATTGAAAAATTAAAACACAGGTCTATCTAGTTCCAAAAACCTACATTCTTTCTACTATAACATATTATTGAAATTATTATATGCATTGGTTCCCCAGTGTAATTTTCCTTTAAATTTAAACAAAAACAAAATTAATAAAAACAAATTGTGCTACTCATTCAAGGAAAATAAATCATTACTAACTAGAATGCCAATTATTAAGTACAATTCATATCCTGTAATTCAATACAGAATAAATAATTATGTAGACAGTTCCAAAACCTTGAATTCAAGCAGTGTCTAATCATAATGTCTAGGGAATCCATTTTTTCCTACCAGCTATCTTGCTGGTAGAAATGGATGTCCACTTTACATAAACTGCTGTTTCCTTCCTCTCTACTTTAAAACAGTTTATGAAGATGATATGAAATTCTACTATTTTTATCATAACGATCAAAGACATTTAAAAGCATCCGGGTTGTTTTTCTATAGATGTCTACTCTTATAAAATGCTTGCAAATCATACAATAGTTTTAGATGTAATTCGGTTACAGAACAATATATGGGCAAAAAGTAAAAAGGACACATACTTTGCAAAAAGAGAGAAAGATAAAAGAACCAATAATAAAAGAGGTTGAAGGTGGCACACAGGTTCCAAATGCCAGACAAAATTAAACAGTATTCCGACTCAAGAAGAAACTAACAAATTACTTATAAGTTACCTTTTGCTAGGTTTTAGTCTTTGTTATTTGATTAAAAAAACCACAAAAATCATGGTAACAAAATCATGTCCTCTTTACATATAAGGAAGACAGCTGCTTTTTACTTAGAGCAGCAAGATAAGATTTTTAAAAATATTTGCTAACCTCCAATAAACTGCAACATGTAAGAAATCTGTTGATACAAGCATTTCCAGAAGGCTTTCAACTCAAGTTTCAATTGAGACAATGATTTAGAATTATGCTCACTTTTTTAAACTATGCTTAAAATAGTTTTTAAAATGTGCTTCACATTTAAATTGAGATAATACATAAGTGAAAATAACTGCTGTGTATAAAACAAATATTAAATATAACTCCTAAAATATTAAACCTAAAAATATTAAAGAAACTCATGAAATTGAAAGGTTTTTGTCTAAAGATTCTTCAAGCTGTGTGATTCCTACCATTTCTTACCCTCAATTGGTAAGAAATATTTAAAACATAGCAGACAGTGTTTAATTTGGGTAGGCACAATAACCTTCTTTAACCTTTCTTAGGGAACACTGACCCCTAAAGGTTCTAAATTTAAACAAGTTTAACAATATTCTAAATGTAACTGGTATCCAGACCTCATTTTTACCATTATTGTAGGTATATGGGCACCATGTTTACTCATAAACCACACTTAAAATTATTTCCAAGACTGTTGTGCACTATAAAACAACCGTGTTTCTGCTAATTTAATAAAAATCACCAAAATTTAAGAACTATCCAGTAATTCATCATACTATTCCCAATAATTACTCATAAGAGATTTCTGATCCTCAAGACTTTTTTTCTTACATTGTTAAGTAAATAATAAGTAAATGCTTAAGACAGGCTAAACAATCAATCATATAGTAACTGGTTCTTTCTGAGGGTTAACTTTACATATGCTCTTTGCGCCATTTCATTTTTTTTCTTCAAAAGCAGGGAGGAAAAAGGAATATTGAAAAAGAGAAAGCTTTCATGAAAGGACAAAACATCATTTACTTCTTAAGTAAGCTAGAAGATGTTACCAATGTTCACTAGACAACACACAAATGTTGTCACCTATTGCTTCCACAACCTAAAATTTCATTCATTCAGGGCTGAGTTGTTTTTTTTTTTAAACTACCCAAAGAAACCTGTACAGTTTATAGATGTCTTCACTTACCCTACCTATCAACCTCAGCTTTACATTTTCTAAACTGAGAATAATGATAAAAACCAAGAAAAATGTAAATCGTTTCACCTGTTAACATTGTTTACCTCATCAAATCTTTCATGTCAAATATTTCAGCGATGTTTCTAAAATAAAGCTAGGAAAAGAAAACCACTTCAACATTCCTTATAATGAAACTTGTAGGATGATACAAAGTGTAATAAAAGTTTTTAATTAGCTCCATTTCCTTAAAAATTAAGATAACTTTAAATAAAATAACTATAAGAATAGCCTATGAACAGTTGTGTTAGACAGAGCTTTAACGCAATCTGTGCTTTATGAAAAATCCCATGAACCTTGATAACAAAGAAGTAACCATGTGTTTAAATGTATCGGTTATCACAAAACTCAAAAGACACTCCATTTACCTGTTTAACTTTGTTAATAATGTTTCATTAATAGGTCCTTAAGGAATGTCTTAGTCCTATTTTCAATGTCCAAAAAATGTCTGTAAAAATGCAAATTTTCTTAAAGATGTTTCAGTCAAGTCTCCTGCAGTCTGTGCCTCCTGCAAACTATTTATGCATCTGTCTTCAGCCCTAAAACCTTCCTCTCCACAAGTGTCCTAGAGCTTCAGCAGTTCCCTTCCTTAACATTTCTCCTGGTTGTTCCACATTTGTGAGAAGTATTTCCTCTACAGCCCCTACTCTTTAGAAATATTAAAAATAATTCCTTTGGCTCCTAAAAGATCCTTTGGTCTATAATGTGAACCACGTGGTTTTCATAGCAATGTGACCTCTGAACAGGGAACAAAAGCAAGAAGGGCATTGTTATTTACTTCCTCTTTTCTTATTTTGCACATACATTGAGTAAGAACTGCTTTGAGTTTTTCAAGAGTGTTTGCCTGCTTATCTGCATAAATGAATAAAAACAGCTACAACAAATAGTTTCCTGCTTCACACCAATACATCATTATCACAACTTGAATATAAAGAGAGTAGACTAAAATCAAGTGCCACAAAATCCTTCCACTAAAGCTATTAACTTTTCATTACAACCTTTAACTATATACATTACTCAGATATTACTTGCTATTCCTTTATACACAATGCAATCGGTTACCTGGATTCTAAATTCAGGACAGTAGCCTGGAATCACAAATAAGAGAAAGGTTACTAATGGCACGCATAAATGACAAGAAAATTGATAACAGTATAGAAATCAAAAACAAATGGAGAAATCAAAAAAGATATATTCAGTGCAGCATCTTTCTGTATCTCAAAAGAACATGTAGCTATTAACTGATTTAGTTCAAGGATGACAGAAGAGTTCCCTCAAATGGCCTTTAACCTTCTGAAAAAGGTAACAGTGTGGTTGATAAATGCTGAAGAAAGCCCTGTTGAAGGAGAGGGGAAGGAGAGATGTGTGCAATGTTTCAATAATAATTCTATTTGTAAAAGTTTAGAGGACATAAAAATGACGAACATAAAATTTCAAGTTTTCAACTATACGTCATACTATATTCAGAATGATTTGTTATCCAAGGATTTCAGATTTGCAACTGTATCCAGATTTAGTGTAAAAGACCTCAAATAAAAACCAAACATTTTTAAAATCTGTCTGTGTGGCGCTTGTTCTACCTTGCTCTCCACACAGATGGGTGTCCTCTACTTATCTCCCTACGTTTGTACCTATCCATCCCATCCATCCACCCATCCTTCCATTTCTCCCTTTGGCAGGACACCTCTTTGTCTGTCTTTCAAACTGTATTTCTCTCTGACCGCTCTCTCCCTCTGCCTGTGTGTATCTGTGCTTTTCTCTCTCTCTCTCTCCTCGTCTCTCACTGTGTTCATGTCTCTGTCTCTTTTTCGAAGTGTTTCTTCCGCTTTCGTCTGCACACCTCTGCCAGTGTCTGTGGCTCTGCCTCTCCCCTTTGACTGTTTCTCTGTGGCTGTCTCTGAGTGTGTCTTTTGGTGTACAAGTGTCTCTGTGCCTGGATGTGTCTTTGTTTTTCTGGGTATGTGTGTCTCCTCTGCATAGTGTCGGTCCATCTCTGCAGCATGTGCATCTTCTCCCCCTTTCACGCTGGGTCTCATCTCTGTCTCCTTCTGAGAGTGTCTGCGTGCACACAGTGCCCCCCTCACTCGGGGTGTCTCTTTCCCGTCCCCCCCAGCCCCTCTCTCTCTCTCTCGGTCACAGCATGTCTGTCTCCTCACTGTGTTTCTCTTACTCTGCTACTTCTCTCCTATGAGTCTCGGGATGTGAGTCTTTGTGTGTGTATCCACGCCTGCGTCTCTGTGTACCTCTGTATGTGTATCTGCGTCTTTTTCATTAAGTTTACCATCTCCTTCCTGTGTCTGTCTCCTTTCTCTGTTTGGGTTCCTTTCTCCGCGTTGACCTCTCTGTGTGCATTTCTCTGCTAGTCGTTCTCCCAATCTCCTCTGTCACTTTGTGGGTGTGTGTCTGCTTTCCTTTTTCTCTTTGAGTATCTCTTGCTCTGTGCCCTTTTCTCTTTCTCCTTGTGTCTCTTCTGCAGAATGTGGGTCTTTTTGTGTATACTTCCTGCCTTGCGTGTGTGCGTGCATGCATGTATACTTGTGCTTATCTGCTTCTGTCTAATACACTGGTTAGAATAAACACACTTCATTCAGTGCCTTGAAGTAGCACATCACCTGGGGTATGGTATTAATACCTTAAAAGTCCTTACCTTTTGACCAGTCCTCCATTTGCACTTCTGTTCTTGTTTGCTCTGGCAACGTCTCTGGTTTTTGCGCCAAGATTTGAGGCTAAAATAAAGCCAACTCTAGATAAATAAACTTAAAACAATGTATCAGAACACACCTAAATCTTACCTTTGTTTAACAGAGAATTTACGGGATAAATGGTTTTCTAAAACACTTATAATAGGACAATTAACTGTATATTTCATCAAGTGAAATTAAATCTTTTTTCTCAGGAAAAAAAGCTCTTTCATTCACATTTACATTTTAGTAAATACAGTTTAAGGGTAAGCGTCTAGACAGTGCTCCTTTGATTAGGGAACTATTCAGTTTATTTAACTTAAGTCTTCTCCAACTATTAACACAACTTCAACAATTTAAGAAAAAGAAAAATTTTACATTATTTGTCATGTTTATAGCAAAAATTTCAAACTTATTTATTTGAATGTATATTTTCACATAAATATTTCATAGTGTGTAATTTTAAAATGCTACTCTAACTTTTTAAAAGGTTATTTCAGCTTGTGGAATTATTGATATTTTTCTCTTCCATTTGTTTTCATAATAAATATGATGAAAGCTATGCAAGTTCACTTTTTTGCATGCTTTTAAAGAGAATAATAAAATTAGAGTCACCTCACAGCTAGAACTCTGCGTTCTTTAAAAAGTCCTCAAATAAAGCTGTAGCAAGCTTCTCCTATTCCAATTTTCTCTAAATATGTTGATCTGGAGTTGGCAATCTTTTTCTAAGTTCCTCATTTACTTTTGGATTAACTGAAAATATAGGAAGTTATTAATATCAAAGAAATATGTTCCAGTCAATGAAGCCATTTCCCTCCATATTGCCCAAAAAGGTTAATAATAATTGCAGTCTTTTAATAAGAGATTCATATAGCAAGACATGTAGAAAACACAGTCTTTAATAACCTCTGGAGTATTTTAAAACATGCCTTACAGGCCTTAATGTGCTTAGTAATATACTATTTAAAACCATAATTTTATCCCTTTGCGATATACAGTCACTCTTCCTCATCATTTACCCAGCTAATGAATGCCAGCAATTAGTAAAATGTAATCCCATTGCACAATCATTTTAATGCTTTTAGCACTCAGAAAAGTAAACACCAAATTAATACTGCTCAAGCCATATCAGATCCTAGTTGGAAGCAAGCAATTATAGTTCAGCTCCTCAGGTGTAATTAAATGATTGGAATGATTTAGTTCCATAAATGCAAGTTAATTCATAAGCAAGCAACAAATATACTGGGAGTAATTACAAGAAACATTGACAGTCTAAGTAGGGCTAATTCTTTTATGAGACTGATATAGTAAAATGCTGCCCTCTCCTGGGCATATAAGTGAATACTTCAGAGCCAAAAACAAAACATTTCCCCCGACACAAAATATAAGTTTTTAAAGGACACTAAAAAGAAAAAAAAAAAATATATATACATATATATAAATTTATATGTAAACTTTATTTCATTCCATAAGCAAAAAATTTTCATTTATGGCTTATTGTGATAATTTCTTCACACCCTAGTAATCAGTGATTTTTCCATTCAAGTTCTGAATATGAGTCCCAAAACATACCAGGCAATTCCTATCACCTAATGAAACTACATCATTCATATAGGACACTTACTGCAAGTGAAACTTCTAGTTCCCTCTTGGACTGTCAGACCAACATCTACATTCTCTCAATGGTAAACCCTAACTAGACTGCTAGAGATTTAAGCTATGTTTTTATAAGTACTAAAATGGATAAGAAAAATAATCTCTGATGGATATAAAACTAAACACTCAGTATTACTGTGACTATACAAAATGGTCTAAAACTAATTGTTTTTAATGAACTCCAATAACAACAACAAAAAAAAGACCTACAGCACTGGTACAATATCATTACAAGCACATTTTAAAACGTAAAGAATAGCAAGCAGTACACAAAATAAAACACCCCAGTTTTACTTAAGCCATTCCCAACTTTTTACTTTTTTAGGCTAACATTCAGGACAAATTTACTTGACTACTACCTGATTCATATCAACTAAACTTCTTATACCTCACTTTTAGAAATGTATTTATTACACATTTAAGTCATGATATAATCAGTAAGACTGTGTTAACACATATGTATTTGTATCACTAAGCCTATTCAGAATCATCCCTTTAACTTTCTGCAAAATTGAATATATTCTCAAATATAAACAATGGTATAACAAGTGTTTAATTCTCCAATAAATGCAATAGATTCTTGCAGGGGATAATGCTTAACAGTACCATTTTTTTTAGTCGGGGAGGGAACAATATTCCTTTCTACTATACTTTCAAATGCAATAAAGTAACTATAATCTAAGTCACAGCCTATGCAAGCTATAAAAATAAACCAAAATATTAAAAAGTCCTGCCACTAAGTTTAAAATGTACAGCACATTTGCTTTGCCCTTGATGTCACAGTCTTATTTTTCAATTCATATCTTGTACACTGTAAGTTAATTGCTTTTGGAAAGTACTTATTATTCATGTAAAAATTAATGTGCCAATGTGTTTAAATCCTCTTAAATGACCATTCATGCATCTTTCTTCTTTAAGTACCAATGAAATCTGTCAAAAGACATCAATGCAAAATGGTCTTAAAGAAAGTTCTAATAGAGATTTTTTTTCTGCTAACACAAGATTTTCATATTCACCAACTTTACTTCAATTTCATTAATTTTTTAAGCTACTTTTAATAAATTCACCAAGTAAAATTTTTAGGCCCCATAGTCTGTCATTTGTGTTCCAGCTGACATTATGAATATTAATAACAGTGTTATCCTGATTAAATAGGCTTCATATGAAATCCCTGTGAATCCTATAGCTCAGACATCTCATTTTTCCAACTCTTTATGAATTTGGATTCAGACATTAAACTGGAAAAATCTTAAAAAACAGATTTAATGGCACATTTGCATATTGTCAAGCAAAAATTAGATGTTCTAATGATTCAAATAATTACAACTTATGGATCTACATATTGTAATAGAATAGAAGATTTTTGTAAACATGCAACATATTTTACACATCTATTCATTTTAGGACAAAGGATTAAGACTAATAAGATTCTGATTCCTTTCCTCACACTCACCTTAAAGATTGATATCAAGTTAACTTGTTTAAATCAGAAATTATATCTTCATGTTAAAATCAGTGGGATGATTTCACAGTAGATACATAAACGAGGCTTCTTAATCAAGTGCTAAATCATTATATCACAGACAAAATATGTTAAATGCTTTAACATTACTAATGTTACCAGGTTCGAGCAACAAAATAAAATCTAACTGAAGTTCATCTTTAAGTAATGTGGGAAAAATTACCCACATAAAAAATAAAAATAAAATCTTTACTATAACAGAACATATCATATCAGCATGTGTTAAAATGAAATCTCCATCACAGAGTCCTAACCTCATTCCTCCAAGTTGTTTGGAATAAGTGAAAAAAGAAAAAACAAATTATAGTCAAAGAAACCACATGCCACCTCTAACTACACTGGAATTTGAATGTATCTGCCTATATTTCCTACTTTCATGCTATCAAAAAATGGAGACTGAAAAAAATTAAACAAACATCTCCATGCTCTGAAATGGGACTTGACTCTCCTTGTTTACTCAGCAGTAAAACACTTCATGAAACAAAAATTGTTCTTTGACCAGTCTAAAATTTCTAATCTGCCTAAAAAAGAATGAGTAATTCTGACATTTATCCTTCAAAATGAAACAATGCTTTTTGGATAGAAAGGCATTTAAAGATGGGACTTCACACCTCAAAGTAACAACACCCAGGATTTTTTAAAACGTATTTTAAATAGGAGACACCCATCTACTTTCCTCCACAAAAACCACACATGGCAAAGGTGTTCAGCTGACTTTGATTAATGGCTTCCTTTTTCATAATGTCTCCTTATTTTAATCACAAATTTGTATAATTTGAATCCAGAGTATAAAGTTAAGAATCATTTCTAACTATAACAAATTATATGCAACTATAACAATGCCAAATTTTGGATTTTCTGCATTGAGAAATGTTGATAATTTCTGCACTAGGATGGTTTCATTAAATGGCTAAAGAAGAGCAGTGTATTTCTGAGAGCCAAATATTATATCAGGTAACTCAACATATACAATATATGCATGTGTTCTACTGATGGATTTCCATCTTACTAGACAAAGTCTCTGAAATATTCATGCTCTCTCACAAAAAAGAATTCCTTTCACTGACTATGTCACATCACAGCCCACTCCCTACCAGCTCCAGATAATCCAAGTTTCTCACAGCCTGGGTAATTAATAAAAGATTTAGGGAAAGGGAGAAAGGATAAAAGTAGACAGATGCCATAGCTATCAAGATTTTAAATGCATATACTTTTTGATCCCTCAGGTCTACTACTAGTCTTTTAAAAATATGTAGAACATATTTTTATGTACAAAGATACACACATTGAAGCAATATTTATTTGGTATGAGACAATACTTATGCTCTAGTCATTCCGAACTTCTTTCTGTTCCTTGAACTCACTAAGCTTATTCTTGCCTCAGAAACTTTTATACTTCTCTAGATTGCTAAACCATTTTTCCCCATCATTTAGGCCTTGCTCAAAATCCATCTCTTCAAAAGGTTTTGCCTGGCCATCCTATCTAAAGTAGAAACTCCTCTCTCATCACATTACCTGTGCTACTACTTTCATGAAGCCATCTGTTTGGGTTTTACTTCATTGCTTATGATATATATCCACCAAGGATGTATATGGAAATTACACTCAGGCACAGCCCTTGTTTTTGTCTTTCATCTGTAGCCTTAGAAGGGTGTTTGGCAAACAGTAAGTAAGTATTCGGTGTGTACCTGATGATCAGACAGGTGGACAGAAGATATGAAGATTCGCTCAACAAACATTTGTTAAGCACCTACATATTATTTGTCAATCAACCATTCTAGGGATTAAATATAAAATAAATAGATAAGGTAAATGAATTTCCTACCCAAAATAAATGTTTAGCTAAAACAATATAGGTACAGAACATGGATAAATTAAAGACAGAAAAAACTGTAAAATTACACTCATATATGCATACACGCTTGAATAAGATACACATAGCAATCTACTATCAGTGGTTACTCTGAAGACAGGGCCTAAGAGTTGAGGTAGAGAGACAGAAAATGAGGGAGTGAAGTATTTCCATTTCCTTTTATATCTATATCTACCTATAGATCTATATCTACCTGTATAATCTGATTTTTTTTACTACGTGCATGCATTATTTTTTAACTTAATAGTGAAATATTTATTAATAACCTTGGAATTTTACAAGAAACTCTGAAAGAAGCCACATTACATCAGATAGATTCAAAATGAACTGAAAGAAAGCTTTATGACTCCCTTGAAACTCTGAACAAATAATTAGACTAATTAACCTTTATAATTATACTTTGTCATGGCTGTTTGCTTGCTTGGTTTACATAGAGTGAGAAGTTCTAATTTAACTAATATATGGTAGAAATATTTTAGTATAGAAAAATTTTAAATGGATGAATTTCCTGAGAATTAAACATTTCTTTTTTTAAAAACAGTCACATTTCTATGTTCAATTAGGGACTATTTATAACAGTCATAGTGTTCAGGATTATAATATTTAAGAGTTTATAATAGAAATTACTATCAAAAAAAGACTTATTACTTACATCATTTAATATCAAGGAGGGTGTCAAATTAAAAGGAAATAAATATTTAATGTTTCAAATATATGGTTTTCACACAACTAAAACCCGACATAGCCAAATAAATATACCTGGAACACTGCATATACCAGATGGAACACTGCAACAGCTTTCACTGTCAGTTACAAAAATGACACTTTGAGAATGAACCCTGTATTGCATGGCCTACTGATAAAATTTTAAAAAGAAAAACTTTAAAACTGGTTATTATTTTCAGAAGTTTAATCAGATACAGGATTTTCTAAAATAACCTGAAACGTTTTGCCCTAGGCCAAACCAAACTAAATCACTTAATATAACAGAATATAAAAACAAAGTCATCTTACAGAATAGCTTCTCTAGGGAACAAACAGCATGTTTTCTTAAGATTCATGTGATTGCCAAGTTCTGATGCAATGACACACTCCTTCACACAAAGGCTTACATTTCCATACAACCAACTGAAGTTCTTGGCAAATCAAAGGTAAAAAAGTATTAGAGCAAGTTACATCGATCTGTAATGACAACTGGTATGAGCACCCACTTGAAATCAAATAAAAGAACAGCTGTCAGAAAATGTCCTTCTAAAATAAAGTAAAAACGATAAGTTCTTAATTCATCACATATCATAATGCTTACTAACAGATTTTACCCAAAAAATTGCTTAATAATTCTCTATAGTTTATACAGTTAAATAATAAGAAGTAATAGGGACATTAACAAATAATATCAGTACACTCTAATGACAGCAGTTATGCTTTTGAACACTTTTAGTATTAATTTTTTTCCTTTTTTTGCTGACATATAGTTGAATTACAATGTTGTGTTAATTTATATTTTAAATACTAAATAACAATTCACGCATATAATTAGTATAAGGTTTATCTATGCAATTTGCTAAAATTATAGCACTTAATCATTCCCAGTGGACAGTATGCAACATGCAAACTATGTATTTCACTTTTTAAACAGTAATGTTAAAGGCAAGTAAGTTGTAAAATAAAATTACTAGAAACAACAACTTTGAAGAAAGTAAAACAAATGTTAGGCTTACAGTTCTAACTCCCTATCCAATATCAAGAAAGTCACAGTCATCAGTTTCATTAATCTGAGGACCTACCAAAGCTCATTTAACTTCTTAAGAGTCATTCTTAATAAATGTATCTGTTAGTAAAAAATATGTAATAAGACTATGATCCTAAAGTAGGTAATCCATAACTGATATAGAATAAAATATAGTATGAAACGGAAAAATATAAGAAGCCAACTATATAGAGAAATTTCCTTCAATGATTTTATTCTTCCTGCATCTAAAATGATAAGATGTCAACTACAAAGTATATGTAAGGATGGGACTAGCTCTTTTGTTCACCACAGCATAGTTTCTTAGGATTTAGAAGTATATGTTCACTAAAAATCTGTTTCAGAAAAGTTATTTTTTAAAACATATCAAGAGAGCAAAATGACTGAGTTTAAAATATTATTAACACTTACAAAATTAATATTTGGTAAAACAATTGTACAATGTTTCACAGTACTAAATTAAATATGTGTTATTAATTTTAAGACATTTTCCACAAGAAAATGCTCTTTTATTTTAAAAGAATTTTCTTTCTTTTAAGAAACTGCATCTCTAGGATGTGTTGATTTATACTATAATCATAATCATGTTGAAGCTGGGTTATGAGTACATAGGGGTTCATTATTCCATTTCTCTACTCTTATATGTTTGCAATTTTCCATAATAGTTTAAAATACATATTATAATATAAAAGAGTATATACACTATCATTTACTTTCACAGAACTAGCAATGAGTACTTCATTTTATAACAGAACATTATCAAACTTTTATCAGTTTTATGTTTGATACATGTATCCATAAACATACTATGTAACAAATACTGCACATGGTTCACAAATATATCATACATACACACCTCACAAGGACTCTACATTGCACATCATTTAGAGAAAAGCCTAAAAGTTTCATCTTACCACACAAGAACTGAACAGAAGATATTATCTGCTGAGAAATATGTACTTTATTAAAATGTTTTGGAATTACTCCCTGACCTTATACTTAATAACTTCCTGAAGCTAAGACCTTACGTTACCAATGACCTAGTGCATATGCTGGATAGGTACACTCTGTCACCTTTAGCAAACATTCTCCTCACCAAGCCACTCAGAGGCCATCTGTTGCACCCTGAAGCAATATCCTAGTTAGTTACTGCTACAGATGTGTGATGTAAATAACCAAGTTTATCATTTGTTAGAGTCATGGCTACATGAATCTGAAATATTTCCTAATTTTATCTTAAAAGATATGTATTTTCACTGCTGGAAATATTTCTCATTTGTAGAACAGTGATAATTCTTTGTATATGCACAGTAATTCTCTCTTAATTAACAAAATGGTGATTTAGAAGAATCATAAGCAGAAATAGTGACAATGACTATTGTTTAGTTGCTAAGTTGTGTCTGACTCTTTTGCAACCCCATGTACTATAGCCCACTAGGCTCCTCTGTCCATGGGATTTCCCAGACAAGAATATTGGAGTGGGTTGCCATTTTTTTCTCCAGGGGATCTTCCCAATCCAGGTCTCCTGCATTGCCAGGTGGCTTCTTACCAGCTGAGCCACAAGGGAAGCCAAAGTAGACTTTTTTTTGGAATTCCCTTGCTTTTTCTATGATCCAGCATATGCTGGCAATTTGATCTCTGGCTCCTTCACCTTTCCTAAATTCAGCTTAGACATCTGGAATTTCTTGGCTCATGTACTGCTAAAGCCTAGCTTGAAGGATTTTGAGCCTAACCTTGCTAGCATGTGAAGTGAGTGCAATTGTACGGTACTATGAACATTCTTTGGCATTGCCTTTCTTTGGGATTGGAATGAAAACTGACCTTTTCCAATCCTGTGGACACTGCTGAGTTTTCCAAATTTGCTGGTATAATGAGTGCAGCACTTGAACAGCATCATCTTTTAAAGGTTTTAAAATAGCTCGACTGGAAATCCATCACCTCCACTATCTTTGTTCATAGCAAAGCTTCCTAAGGCCCACTTGACTGCACTCCACGATGTCTGCTCTAGGTGAGTGACACACACCCTTTCCTCTTTTTCCAACCACATGCTCAACATCTGAAACAGATACAAGGCACCCACCAAATTAAGTGGAAAAGTGAACTACCTAAGATCAAAACCCAAAGTCTTTGCTATGGTAGGGCAAGGAATACAAACTTGTACTTAAGCCAATCAATTAATGTAAACTGATTAGCAATCTGAGACTATACTGTCCAGCCAGAAATTTTACAGAAAAAAAAAATTAGGTCATGAACTACATTTCTTGACAAGATAATTTCTTTTGAAAATAAGCTCACAGCCACAAGAAAAAACTATAACATATATGAAAGAATTTAACATAAGGAAAAGCATTACAGGCATATGAAACAGAGAAGTAGAGATTCATATTTGAATTAGAGAAAACTAGGCAACCTGAAATCAATCTTCACAACAGGTATAATTTTCAAATTGCCACATAGAGAAGTCAATACAACCCATTAAGTAAAAGCAATCAGTTTCTAAAGAAGCATAGATAGATATAAAAAGGAATCAAGTAGAAACTGTTCAGAAATAAGAAATGTTAATTCAAGTTGAAACTCCATAGATGAAGTAAAAACTATAAAACAGTAGAGTACAGAATTAAAGATTTGCAGGCAGAAAGGAAGATATTCCTCAGAATGCTGCATAGAAAACTTTGAAAATATGAAAAAAGAAGTCAAGCGACATGGAAGATAAAATATTAATAAAATGTTCTAACAAATGCCCAGTAAAGGATTGAATAGGGGAAAAGCATAAAAAGAAATGAAAAGTAAATTAATTACATATACTCCAAATAGGAAAGAAAATGTGTCCCTGGAAAAGAGTAACTGAATCAGAGTTATATAGTATCAACATCCCATAATTCCATGGAGATGCAGTCCCAGCATCACATT